CACAATTTGTCGGAGCTAAATCTTGGATACAACCCAAGTGCCCATCAACTGAAGAGTGGATAAAGAAGACATGATATTTTTACATAATAGAGTATTATTCAGCTATAAAAATGGGTAAATGTGAGGCTTTTATCAGTAAATGGTTGAAACTAGAGACCAGACTCTTAAGTGAAATAAATCAGACCCATATGTGCAAACATTGCATTGTCTTCTTAGTGTGAGAACCTGAAAGAGGAAATGGAATCTGAAGGGTACAATAGATACTGAAAAAAAGAAATGAACCTGGTCAAAAGGAAGGAATTACTGAGTTGTAGAGAAGGACAGAAGAGGGAGTGTGGGAAAGCACTATATCTATGTATGTAAGCAGGATGGTTTGGACAACTGTATGTGAATTTCTGCTGGTCTACAAAAGTTAATGCTTAATTTGTTTTGTCTCTTTTTTTCAATTGTCCTTTTTTCATAATTTCTTATATTTCTTTCTTTTTTTTTCTTCTTCCAATTTTGCATGCATCAAAAAGCAATTATAGTTCCAAGAAATGAAAGATGAGATTTGTAATATGAACAATTACTTTAAAGATAATGCTGTTCATTACAACAGATACTGTTAAATTAATATTTATTTTGTTAAGTGAAATTCTGTATTATTTGTAATTTTTGTTTTAATACTATTTTGTACTCTCTTTAGAAAAAATTAATTAAAAAGGTAAAAGTACCTGAGTTACAGTAAGTTCTCAGAAAACATTAGCCACCTTTTAGTATTCAAGGAAAAACATCTCTGAGATCTTTAGAGCATGTAATAGAAAGGGTTTTCCCCAGTAGCACAAAAGTGATAATCTTGTCCAGTGATGCCAATACCAGTTGAGGAGCTACATCTTGACCTGATCACTCATAGATCTTTAAGTTGGGGCAAATCATTGTCAGCTTTTAGGTGGAAAGAGAGTGATGGCAGCCAAGTGTGAGCATGGCCTTTGACTTCCTATGAAGTTGAAAGATATTTCAAGTTGACACACCATGAAGGGGCAGGAACTGGGAGGCACTACAGTGAACATAAGAGACTTGCTTCCACCACAAAAGTCCTTCCACCTACACATCATGTCAGGATCCAGCGTGCTAAAAACCCAGTCAAAATAACTTGAACCTAGAGCCTAAATTATTTGACAATGTAACATAAAGGAATTTTACATTTTATAGGCATTTATTTGGGTTTTTTAGTTTCTTTTATTAGTCATGTTTTCAATACATTTTACTATATTTATCTTGGGAAATTGGTACATATACATATCACATCTTCATCAGTTTTATTTTCTCTTCCCTTCTCCTATCTCCCCTTCCTCATATCCCTTTCCCATCTCTTACAATTTTAATATATATCGAATTTTCCAAAAAAGTAATTACAGTTTCAACAAAGAAGAGATTTATGCTGTTCATCATTTTATTAAGACTAAAGTTAAAGTTGAACATTTGGACTAAGCTTGGGGAACTTCTCAAGATCTGCTTGAGTAAGGTACCCCCAAATTGAGACCTGAAGAATGAGTAGAAGCTTATAAGAAGAAAAGAAAAACAAGGGTGTCTCAGACAGCATGAGGAGAGCCAACAGGATAAAGAAACTGAAGATCTAAGAGACAAAATTGCCTCTGCGAATGGGGCACTTGGATCAAAGGCCTGAAGAAATGAAGGAGTATCTTGCCCATCTGTGAAGGGAAGGTGTTTTGGGATCAGTAAGATTGTAATAAAATGCAAATGCCCCGAGGTCAGTGCATAGCCCGCATGTTTCAGGACCAAGAAGGATGTCAGGCCCGGAGTAGAAGAAACTAGTAGGAACCCTAGGAGATGAGATGAGGAAGCCGGCCAGTTTTACTTGTAGGCCAGGGCTTGTAGGCCATGACACCGTTTTATGTAGCATGAGATAGGGGTCCATGACAGAGGAATGACAGGTTCGGCTGGGCCTTGGGTTTTCTCCCTAGAATGTAAGCAACAGAGGACAAGGACTTTATCTTTGTCCCTTCTATGCCCACAGCCGTGGAAGTCCATTGGGCCCTGGAAAGCTCTTAGAAAACGTTTCAAGTGGGGCCTGGGGAGATAGCTCAGTAAAATAAGCACTTGCCTGGCAAGTACAGGGTCCTGAGTTCAAAAGTCAAAAACAAACAAAAAATGTTTCAAGTGACTAATCAGTGACTTTTGGGATGAAGCAATGCAAAACTGAATATGATTTCTTCAAAATCTACTTTTCATCCCACAAATTTGTGAAAAACTTCCTTCTCTGCCCATTTCCAGGCCGTCCGTTAGGTTGTGGTTCCTGCTGCGGCCTCCAGAGGTCGCTAAGTGGTGGTGGTGGTGTTCTCGCACGGAGGATTTTGCAGGAGGCACCGCGTGGGGCGGGGCCTGTGGGCTTGCGCCAGAGGTTGGGCCTGATCTAGACGGCTGGCGGAACGCGGTAGTGGGATTGTGGTTGTGAGGCAGCAGTCGGAGTGGTTTGGGACACGCACGAAGCAAAGATGGCGGCGGAGCGACAAGACGCGCTGAGGGAGTTCGTGGCGGTGACTGGCGCCGAGGAGGACCGGGCCCGCTTCTTCCTCGAGTCAGCCGGCTGGGACCTTCAGGTATTTCCGCGAGGCGGGTCTCATCAGGCGGTCTGAGGGCTGCGAGGCGGAGACGCCCGACTCTTTAAGCCCGAGGCGTCCGAAGCGCACCGTCATTCCTACCCGACCGGAGCCCAAGCCAGGCCTCATGGCCCTGGGGCCGCTTGCCACACGTCGCCGGCTCAGTTCGAGAGTGAGGGAGCTGGCCAACCTTGGCCTGCTGTGTCGGGCCGCGGTTCGTCCCGTAGCCTTGCCTGCTCCGTGGCACCGTTGGCCGGACCTCCGGCGCTGGCTCGGCCGGCGTGGAGCAGGGTCGTCTGGGGGCGTGGCTGCGGGGCCGACTGCCCGACCCTGGAGTTGGCTCAGGCTCCCTTTTAGCTAATTGCTGGGAAAAATTAGTTCTAGGATGGTGGAGCAACGTTGAATCTCTCAACCTTTCTTAGTCAACGGATGTGTGCAGTGAGAGTCGCGTGGAATTTACTGGCAGCACACCGGCAAGACCTACATGTTCAATTAAGAAGCTTCACTCGGGAGAGATTTTTCGCAAACAAAAATCGCCAAAATCACCACTGCCTACCACGTAAACATTCAGTCATTCAGTTTTTCAGTAGAAAAAACTTGTGTACCTGTTCTTGGCCAGCCTACATTTTAAGTAGATGAGGATAACCAATATTATTGAGTAGATTCAACAGCCAAGCACTGTTCTAACTGCTTTAAATGTCCTCTGTCACTTAGTTTACAATTTTGTAGCAAAGATTTAAGGAAAAAAACTTGCTTAAAGCCTTGATATCAAGAATGACAGATAAAATTAGATCTTATTTTTGTCTCATTTTAGTTAGAAGATAAAGACTAGCCCTGATAGGTATGTAAAGATGAGGAAAAGACATTTTCACTGCACTGATTAAGGCCCAACAATTCTGTCTCTTGTCTTGGTGAGGGTCCCTGTCTGCCTATGCCCCATTTTATAAATGAGAAATTAGAGGCTTGGGGTAAAGAATGTGCCCAAAGCCACACAGCCAGTAAGTAATGGGATTGGAGTTTCAACTAGGTCTGCTCATTCCACCATTTATATTGCTTCTCATATGTGTTAGATAAAGCAGCATATATCTCTGTTGTCACAGTGTGAAGCCCCTGTGTTGGCTAGTATAAAGCAGAAGTACTTCTACAAAATACGTAGTACTATTGTCACCAGGTCATCTCTCCCATTCTCCTCACACTATAGGTAGAGAAACTGAAGCTCATGCAGATGGCAGGACCAGGATTTAAATATAGTCTTTGTCAGTTAAGTGCAAGTGCCAAGGTAACTCACTATCCCCATCAGGCCACTTGTTTCTCATAAGGTATATTCAGACCAGTTATGTCCGATGACAGCACATTGCCTTTGGTATAACTGGTCACCTTGAGGATACAAGTTGTGTTTTTATCTCTGTATACCTCAGTGCACTTTCTTCTTTCTTTGTACAGAATGTATGTGATGAAGTATCTGCTGAGTTGGTAAGGGAAACATAGAGTTACAAGTGGCCAAAGAATTCCTATATAAATACTCAGTAAATACATGCTACTTTAACTTCATAAAATGAGAACAACAAATGTTTTCCACCCTAGTCTTTTTTCTTGTCTTCTTTTTTCCTTGGTGATAGAATTTGTTTCAGATAAACAGAAGACTAAAAGTTGTTCCATTGTCTTTCAGTCAAATTTTTATCTTGTGTAGGTCATGTCTTGATGCTTTTATTCCTTTGTGCTAAGAGAAGATATTAGGTAAAGGACTGTTTCAGGGTCCCGACGTACTGCTTCTCTGTTTCAGATCGCACTAGCGAGCTTTTATGAAGATGGAGGGGATGAAGACATTGTGACTATTTCGCAGGCCACCCCCAGTTCAGTGTCCAGAGGCACAGCCCCCAG